ACTTTTATCGTTTCATCTGTAAGTCGATCCTAAGGTCGCATGACCCTGACATGACAGTGCTTTTAATTATTTATCACGAGGATCTCTTGGGGTATCGGGCTTCGGGATCCTACTGGATGGAATAGCCATTATATCCTTGCCTTGACATATTACTAACTTTTTTTTCATGTTATAACCCCAACGTTCTCATCTAATTCCGACAGTATTAGGTTGACGGCAGTAGACTAGACCCTCATTTCGCATATAGGATTAAAATAATATCCAGTAATTTAATTCATAGTGAGTATTAACATATCGGTTTACTTTGTATTTAAATATAAAGCGTTCTTATTCCTTTTGGGTATGGAGAACCTGAGATAAAGAATCGCATACAACTTGTCTGCCCATAAATGGCGCTGTGGACGGGCACTGTCGACTATAATTCAGATGATATGGTCATTATCGACGTCAGTGATTGTTACAGTACTCTCTGAGTGTGCCTTTATATAGTTTTAAATGTAGGTTGGTGGTTTTAAAATTGGTATGAAACTGATCAATTTATGCATAGTTTTTTTAGGTTTGGATCCAAACAGTTGCGTTCAAACTAAAACCCCTTCTTTTTTATGGTATAAGGGGCAACCCAGCAGACGGGTCACCTCATGGTAAGCAACTACCGCCGCCCATGGACACCTGCAACTCAAAAGTCACAAGTGCTTTTTTAACAAGTAACCTCACACATCTCACACACGGCTGTCTGATCCCAAGCTAGGCAGATCCTGTAGTATGGTAACCAGACTCCTGTTAGACATACTTAAATCTAATCTTTTATATAATCTTAATACATACATATAATGGATAATTACACTCAGACGCAAAACAAATGATCATGCTCCATCACACAAATATTTGTCTTGGGTGGGAATCGAATTCACGAACTCTGGCTTAGCAGTCAGGATCACTTACCAATCAATGAGAAAGGAGGTATAAATACAACGTCAGAACAAAGTCAGGAATTTCATGTAGGTTCAGAACACAAGGTTTGGAGGTCAGAGTCTACGTGGAAGACACCAAACTCTGTTATCCCCTACGATCGGTTAACAGACTTATCTACCCACTAAAACGATAGCTAATCATAAAAGGCTGCCAGTGTCTCCAACAGTAAAAAAAAAAACAGAATTAGGTAGCATACTGGTGTAGTACCTTCCTAATAACTCTAAATTTTCTGCCCACCCATACCAGAATTCATTTATAATTTGTCAACCAACTAAAAATTCTTGAGTAAGATCGTATATAAAATCTAAATAATTAATGGAACGTGGATGTAATAAAATTTTACTTCACCTTTCCGGGTTCACATACGTGGCGCAATTGACAAAACCAAAACTGTAACACTATTCATTTAATGCTCATAAATACCAAAGTCGATAAACATTAAAAACTAGCTATTGCACACGGCTACGCTTACGTGATTGTTTGTTTTTTAACTTTAAAAACTATTTTACCGCATTAGATTTTAAATTGCCATAAACCTTTGTGGGTGCTTACATTATAAAGAGCATTAGCTGCAAAAGTTTGTAGCTCCAGCGGTAAAGACTCTGTGTTGATGAATCAGTCAGTCAGTCAGTAATTTTATATGAATCATCATCATCAGCCTTTAATGGTTCACTGCTGGACATTGGCCTCTTCTTAGAAAGGAGGTACCTACGATGGCGAGACGGATTGTTATAGGATTTGTGTCAAGATTTTTCTCTTTGCAGTGCTGTTGTCCTTCGTAGTTTACTCCCTTAGTCGGCTCTCATATATTAAGTACGTTCGATACAATAATTATTTTTCCCTATAACTTCATTGGACATTATCATCGTCTTTCTGACGGTTTTCCAATATTATTTGATGTCAAAGCAATGTGCCACATTGCAAAGAGATTTTTTGATTGCCGGCCGTCTGTCTGACGCCAAACCCCCAATGAAATGTAATCGTTCTCAGACGAGTCAAAGAAAGAAGTTAAATTGAGGTAAGAATAATCAATTAAATTAAATATCTTAAAAACCCCGACAAACATCTTGGATTTGATATTTGTCACATTGTATAGTATTCTACTAGTCAAACCCTTTCTTTTGATATCCACATTTTTTTATTTATTTGGTTGTTTCAAAAATATGTAATCCGCCATCTTGTGGCGGCGGCCATCTTGAACCGATTTTCATGAAACATATCTAAGAACACTCCCAAATAATTAACCTTTCAAAAAAAAAACAATTTCAAAATCGGTCATCCGTTCGGGAGCTACGATGCCACAGACAGACACACACACAAATAAGTGGTTCCTGCCCTTAGAGATAATATATAACTAGAGTAGGAAAGCTGGCTTTAGGCGCATAATCAGGTGGAGCCGGGTTTGGGCTTCGGTAACCTCACACACTCGGTGGAAAGCTAAGAAAAAACTAAGCATTTTTGAACAACAAACAAAGAATGTGTTTGTTAAAATGGGGAAAAAAACCATTGAACTCGCGACACTGTTACCGTTACCGACACCTTACAGAGGTGTTATAAGGAGTTATAAGTATCTACACGAGAGTTGAGTTTCGATTGAAATACATTGATATAATATAACTAAATATATATAATATAAACATATATTGTGTATATACGTACAACATAGATATATATACGTGTCGGAAACTGTACGAATTTAAATTTTCAAGTTTTCACTTCTGTCGGCACTCCCGGAATGCCACTGTTTTATTTATTGAAACTTGTTGCAAACATATTGCATAAGGCGAAATGCAATAGGCATTTTCTTCCTTTGGGTGTTGCAAAGCTTGGGTGGTGTATATTTGTAACTGGTAAGGATGAGACTAAACTAAAGAATGTTACAAAAGGAGAAAAAATCCTACAGATATATAGGTACTAGGTATACATACATATAAGTTATATACAGTTTAGTTTATACATGTAAATATCATAATAGATATGAAATTATTTAATACATAGATAATAAAGATACTCATGAAGTATATCATTTTGGTCGAACAGGCCCATTTGTGCAGAAGGATGGTCTTCCATGGTAATAAATGTAATAACATTTATTACCATGGGAGACCATCCTTCTGCCCAAACCAGTCCACTCTGTCATTTTAGACGTTACTATCAATATAGTAACGTCTAAAATGACAGACTCTCTATCCAATTTTTCTTAATAATATTTTTTTGTGGTTTGAGTTTTTTCTTCTTATTTTGATTGACAACGCATTCTACAATGGTGTTGCAACAACGGTAAATAATATGTCAGGGAACGATGTGGAATGTAAATTTAACTATAATTTTTCTGATAATCTTAAGAATCTCTGATACATCATAAGGTTTGAAATGTTTTGTTTTAACCTATAGTTATGGAGTTGATTTGTTTTATTGAATACGCTCGTCTCTGGATGACTAACTCCAAAAAAAAGAGCTATTTTTGATGGCTCGATTCTTTTGGAAGTCTAAAATTTATTTATTATCACGGTACAACCCGTACGTGTATAGAACAGCTAGTATTCAAATACGACTATTCAATCACTACGCAATTGATAATCAAAAACCAAACAAGAATTTGACGTAACGACTAAGTATCTATATAAAACACAAATTATATATTGGTGATCAGGTAGGCTTCGTCATGCGAACTTCCTGCATTCTTAGCGCCCTCGCCCGGACCAGTTTGGGGTACCGCAGTGAAAGTATAAGTGAAATAATGAGGACCATTTGCATTTATTTGAAGTTTGACAATAGCGTAATTTATATTTAAGGAAACAATTATTTAAAATTGTAAATAGATATAGACAATTGAGTGTGGAAATCTTATAAACTGAGATAACTCCCTAATAACATCATATTTGTACAGGAATAAGCACAGAAAAAATGAACGAGCAAGCTTTGCAGTAGTCGCATATGATGTGTAATCTAATATCACACGGCCAACTATAGAATCGCGTAAGTCCATTAGTTAATTTAAAACAGTGCGCCCCTCCCTGGCTTTTTGTCACAAAATACCGTCCTTTTTAACAAAATCACTTACACAGATTGTCATCAGAACGCGAGAATAAAAAACAGTATCTATCAATCTCCAGCAAAGTAAAGTATCATTTAAATATTAAAAAACTCAAAAAGACACTTCCAGAACCGCCTATTATTGCTTGCCCTTTCAAATGTAACGTCACAAAAAAAATCTTCAGAATTGTACGGAACCTTATTTCGAACTATGGAAAATTCTTAACACATTAATTCTTTTTTACTATTTTCATACAATGAGCATCTGAGTTCAGGCTGCTCTACATCGTTCGTATAAATAGTGGACGAAAAGAGTTGATTACCATCAGTAGCCATCTGTAGCCATCCAAAGCTTCTCGAGTTCAAGATGAGAGTTCTGGTCAGTGGTTTATTTTATTTATTTATTTTTAAATTTATTCAGTGAAGTGATTTATTTAGTGTTTTCGTTCGAAAAGGAAACTAAAAAAAAAACAATTCTACTTTTAAATTTATTTTTTTACAAATGTTCTTTGTAAATAAATAAAAAGTGTTTGTTTTAAAATAAAAATAAATTAAATCTTTTAGGCATAAATACTATAATAAAACTTCTTATTGATACTGAATTTGAATGCATCGACGCGTTGTATTTTTTGCATGACGGTGATGATGAAGATGATCAGTTCTTAGATGATACAGTGGCATTCATTGCATCCAAAATCTTTAGAATCATATATCATTGCATTCGTTGTAACATCATAGGTTTTATTTTAATAACAGATTTCTAGGGTTTTTCCATTTAGTTCACGGGGCTTGGAATACCTCTTTTTGCGAGTGTTTATAAATGCCGGTAACCGCTTACTATCAGGTGTTTGTTTGTCATGTGTGTTGTATTAAAATGTAATCCAAACGTTTTCATCTTATAGACACCTTGCGTTCAAAAATGAACTATACTCCAACACCTCTTTAATGTTTTTTTTTGTCAAAGATCTATTTAAATGAAAATTATTATTAAAATGAACTTGATTAGTCGTATAAATAGTGCGCGGACGCAGATGATCGTTGTCAGTAGCCATCTGAAGCGTTCCGAGTTCAAGATGAGAGTGCTGGTTAGTGATTATTATTTATTTTAATTGATATATTAATTATTTAATATTTTAAATTAATAAACAGCATAGCAATTTCTGTCAAAATAAATGGAGTCCAAAATACAATTAATCGTTAATTATTCGTTAAAAATACTTTCTGATAGTTTTCTTTTTTTAATTTAGATAATTTTATTATTTCAATAAAATTACATTGATTTGGCGTGTTGCGGCGCAGCCTGGCCACAGTCGATTTCGTTATTTATAGACATGTTAATTTTTAACAGGCATTTTGACATATTAAATGTTCTTTTATTATTCTTACTGTACCAATCAATAGATTAAATGAACCACAAATATATCTTGTTAAAAAAATAATTGTTTGTGGCCGTGAAGCACCGTATACTTTGGAGCCCGGCCACGTGTATAATATGGGTAGGTTGCTCAGAATGTTCTAAAATATAAACTAAAAAAATATTCCTTTTGTTCTTTATTTTTGTTTCATTAAAATTTACGCTAACATTAACAGAAAATAACTGCAAATATGAATTATCATTAAGCGCCTAAACTACTAAAATAGCAATGTAAGTATGTAAGCGATTAAACAACAAGGAAGAGGCGAAGGCGCTTACTGCAAATTCTTATTTGAAATCAATCTCTGTTTATGTGAGCGATTCTCTTAGTATATTCCATGGAAAAAAAAATAAAGAACACAAAAGGATTTTTTTTCCCATTTATATTTTAGTAAGTTCTGAGTGCCAGCTAAAAACCTATATGCCACAGGCTGCAACGTATACGGTGCTTCCCGGCCACAAACAATTGTTTTTTTAACAAGATATATTTGTGGTACATTTAATATATTGATAAGTACAACAAGAACAATAAAATAACATTTAATTGATACGTCTATAAATTACGAAATCAACTATTAAGAAAATAATAATAATAATTTCTTACATCTGACACGCCATCTAGTTTCAAACTGAGTAAAGCTAGATTGACTGATAGAATAAATAGATAAATAAAATAATAATATTCAATAAGATATTAAAATCGTCAGAATCAAAATTGAAATTGTTACAGGATTCGGTTAATTCTGTAACATTTATAAACGTATCTCGACAGTGTACGAGAACCTTTATAAACATTAACGCAAGAGTAATCTATATTCACACTGTAATGTATACAAAAGGACACGTTTATAAACGCAGTCATTTAATGTCAACCTTCAAGGGATAGGCGATGTGAGACCGATCACTAAATATTCATTTTACAGCAGTAAAAATATTGTATGACTAGATCATGTGACTCATTGCATTCCAGAGCTTATATACAGAAAACGAATTTAAAGGATAATATAAGTAATTCTAAAATACATTTCTGAACCGTATTTGACTGCACGGATGGCATAGTGTCTTGTGCACGATCACCACATCGGACAATACTTTGTGTAATCCTTGTTTAAATTGTTGTCCTGAGTCTGGGTGTTCTGTGTATCTGTTTCCCGTCTATAAAGTCCCCTTGACGCAGGACATATTTTTAGCGCGGGCGTTTTAAAAAAATGAATGAATGAATAATATAAATGCAGAAGAGAGCATACATTTCAATCAGAAGAAAACTTCTGTTCTAAAAGAATACCTACATTAATTTACTTCCATCATTTGTAAATTGCTACAACATTTCACATAGCAACAATACACTAAAATTAAAGCGACTCAATGTGAAAGTATGCTTTTATAAAATCATGTAATTTAGAAAATCACGTCTTAAATTACAGCTTCTATTTGAATTGTACACTCTTTTTTTACACAGGATCGCAAATTTAATAAATTTAGGCAGGCAGGTAGGATTTAGAATTCGAACGTTCAGCTTTACATTTTCACAAAACGAACAAAAAATTCTGAAGATCGATTAGATTAAAAAACAACTCAAAGACATTTCTTATTCCAGATTCTTTCCGCCTTCTTCGCCTGCGCAGCGGCAGCACCATCTGGCCTCGTTGCCTCCTACATCTACCAGCCTTTGACCATCCCCGCTGCAATCCCTACTATTTCCCCTGGGGACATCCAAGCCGCCGCCATCGATGTCCAAGTCAAAGCCAACGACCTGGCCAGAGCTGCTGTTGACAAGGCCCAAGAATTCAACGACCAAGCCGTCGAAAATGTCAACGAAAAAGTTGTAACTGACATCGACCAAATCAACGAGAGAAACTTGGAAGCGTTCTGGTCAAACGAGGATAAAAAATGGCAAGCAATTGATGCTGTCAAGACCGCTGAAGCTCAGATTGACGGCGCTGCAGCAAGCAATGCTGACTTATACGCCAAAACCGCCATCGGTGGTGCCGTACCTTATGTTGCCGCAGTCGCCCCTGTACATGGTGTTGCCCCCGTAGCTGCTGTTACTCCTCTGGTAGGCGCTCCAATCTCTCCCGTAATTTACAACCCTTACTTTTCTGCCAATAAAGCTATTTCTGCTCAAGCAGAAGTGAAAACTGAGGAGAAAAAGGAAGAAAACCAAGAAGTTACTGTGGAATCTGCAGTAAAGAGCGCGGAACCCCAAAAGGCTGAAACTTCCAGTGAAAATGCTGCAGAGAAACCCTCTGAGAGTGCAGCTGAGGCTGAGAAAAAGCCTGTCGTTCTGGCCCCCTCTTTAATAGCTCCTATCCCCGGTGTGTACAGATATAACGTGGTAGCCCCAGGGCCAGTACTCTCTCAACCTTTTGTCAAGTACGCCTCTTTCCCCACATTTCACGGAGCATTTGTTCCTAATTTCGTGCAGAGCGTGTGGTAAATTTCTGGTAACATTGTAGAAGGCATTAAATAAATTGGTCGACACTAGTTTTTTTGAGTTTTAATTTAAGTCAAAATGTATAAAACATTCCTAAAGGTAACTTAATACATACTAGCTGTACCCTGACACGGTTCGGTGTGGTACATTGCGGTTGCATTGTTGAGAATTAAGGAACAAACTGAAGCAAAAAATAGATACAAACAATCTTTGAAGCGAGTTGTATAAATTTTAGCTCTATCGATGCCAAACTTTTTGAGTTTTGTGTGTGTGAGTGAAATCAAGTTACCATTTTATACCTTTAGATGTTTTATAAAAAAAATGTCCACTGGTTATAATATGTACAAATCCGTGTCTCTATAAATACAAATTATAGAGTTAAGAAACAATAAATAAACAAAAGCAGGGTTTAATGAAAATGTTAATTACTAAAGAGAATCAGAATAATTTCCACTTTAAAAAAAAAACAGGATAACAGCATTAAAGGAGACTGTGCTGCCTGACGTTCTAACTTTAGGTCTACCAGTGTTATTGTAGGAAAATAACGTAGAAAATAGTGATTTTTATACGATAAAAACAACTGTCATCTGTCACATCTAATTAGATTTGTCAAATTCCTGTTGAGATATCGTGATTTCTTCATTAATAAAAATGTCGAAAAAGCCACTAAAATATCAATAGGAAATATTGTTTTCGAAGTGTAGCTTAAATTACACTTAGAAGAATGTGTCCCTTGAATAGAATCCCTTCTTTGTATTGCAATTAATTAACTAGAGAAGAATCTAGGTCAAATGGAAGAGTCTTGCGTCGACCCACATGGGCCGACTCGACCGGTCACTCCGGTCGAGTCAGCCCATGTGGGCCAAAAAAACGCTCATCAAAAAAAACACAAACGCGTTGCCGGCCTTTTATGAAGGAGTACACTCTTTTCTTGAAGGTTTGAAGGTCGTATCGGTCCGGAAATACCGCAGTTTCTTTCGTTGCTTTTCACCGAGTGATTTTCGTTCACCGAGTGACGTTACCGGAGCCCCAAACCTCCTAATAACTGTTTGTGGGTGGGGTGGACGCACTTGGGACTCTTTAGTTGGAGGTGACCATGGGCGACGGTAGTCAAACAACAAACACATATTTTTTTTCTATTATTTAAATATGTTTCGTACAATAATCTGGCAGAAGAAAGAAGATTCTTCCTTTCCAATTTCCGGTGCGTATTGACAGATAAAAGTATGTAAGGTAACCATTCAGAAGGCACTATGTTACTTTGCCAATTTTATGACAAAATTCTGGCAATGCCGATTTCTGAACACAATGATAAGATGCAGATAAAAGGTATTTCCATCAAAACTAAAACACAACCTGTACAAGAAATATACTTAATATTTGTCATAGCGCATAACTGGACCTGTTTACCTTTACAAGCAATTCTAGATTAAAACAAGTGATCCTTAGTACAGAAATTGAATAGTATAACGCCTCACCTAACTGTCACTTGTGACTTCCTGGATATGCGTAATATACGGTTCACAATATGTTATAAATACACGTAACGTCATCTAGTTAAAATAGGTAGAACTACTACGTAATACAACTCATGTTGAATCGCGCTTTCAATTCTATGTTAAAATTATTCTATCGTATAACCTTCTTAAATTACAAATAGAGGGTGCTGTGAATTTTTGATATTGTACATTTACAGTAAAAATAAAAACTAATTAGTATGATCTAAAAAAAAGCAAAACTATTTGTATAACATTATCAGATAGCACATGTAAAGTATTTTTCTAATAGATCTCAGCTGAAAGACGTCCACAGCTGGACATAGGCCGCCCCCGAGGTAGCGACACAATCTTGTGGGGGGCCTACCCTAAGGTACGCGGTCGCCACTCAAACTCTTTAGCCCCCTTGGCTATCTCAAAATATCATACGTCCATTTAATGATAGATTCTTAAAAATTATTTCATATGAAGATCGCACGCACGCACAAACAGTTAAATAAGACCACTGCGCTTTCGGGTACATACAACTTCTGAGCTGTGTGGTGCTCAAATAAGGTATGATTGTATAATCAACCCTTGGGCTATGGACAGTACTCATCTCATCTCATACTCAGATACTCATCTACTGTAATATTTTGCAATTTTTGTCTTTGATTTATGATGTTAACATTGGGCTAAACGTGTTGGTCCACCATATTGGACCAAATATCGGCTTTTATTTAATTTACTTTTTTATTGTACGTTTAATTATTTATTACCTAAATTTGTACATATTGTTGTTTTCGTTTAGATCACTTAGTATGTGCGCGGAATTATCATTATTTATTATTAAGCCCAAAATCGATCTAAGCGGCATGCAATGGGAGAGGCCTATGAGGACTGTGATAGGCTGATGATGATACCGACACTATTTGATTGGCCGGTCAGTGTTGTTGCCAACTACCAACTTACCGCTAAGTATATCTCTACACGTTGGGTCAACTGTAGAACCACTAAGGGTACTACTGCCTTCAGAGGTCTTGGATTTAGTTGTAACAGACAAGTCAAGTTACATATTCCTTGTCTTTCACGGCCCTCCCTTTTTACTACATATTCCTTTCAATATCTTCACTCTTTAAATAACAAGTTGCCGGTTGACAATGTGTTCGTCCGCTATTCCTTGAGTTATCCACCTCGGAGCCTTCTCCCAAAATAGGTTGGGGTCGGCTATAGTCTACTACGATACGGTTCAACTTCGATTATTTACGTGGACAGACTGCCATCAGACCTCTACAACCTCAGACTGTTTTCAGACTTTTTAGGATTGTTAAGTAATCCTAAAAAGTCTAAAGCTTGCAATGTGCTAAATAACTACTCCTCAACAAGTCTTCTACTTCGTGAGTAGGACTAATTTATAATTGACAAAAATTTACCCTCCTTTTGAGAATACATAAACACTCAATCACTTAGTACAACCTTGTCTCGAACCCAATAGACTACTTTTAATTACCTTTAACCGTATAAAATATAAATTAGCAATATTTAATTGTTAGTTGAACAAGTTTATAACGTTGAGTACATTTCCTTGAGCCCAGCCTCTAATATGATCTTGATTATTGATGTATCTATTACATAAATTCTTGTATAATGCGAGGCTACGCCCTTCTACAGTGTGTTGTATTTTTATTTAATTATATCAAAGTATTATCCGTGGTGAATAAGAATACGGAATGTCACCACCCTATTCATCCCGTGGGTGTCGTAAGAACCGACGAAGGGGACAACAGCACTGCAAAAGCGAAGATAAACTTGACACAAACCCTTTTTTCACGTGTGGATACTCCTTCGGGACGTCACCCCACCGGGGTTTGCGGCGAGGTGGTGTGTCGGTATCTGACCGACTAAAACCATACGGTGTACCACTCTGCGCCTGTAATAGGATGGATCACACCTTATACCAACAAGTCTGGCCAGCGAGGTATAGTAGGCCAAAACCTCCTTTCTAAGGAGAGGCCCAAGTCCAGCAGTGGACTATTAAAGGCTGTTGATTTTACTCGTAGATGCTTTAATTTCTAGAATTTGATAGGATCTAGGATATTTTTGAAGTCTCTGGATTCGTTGCTTATGAAGGATTATCTGTAGGAAGACACGCTGACTGAATTATATAGTCTGTCTGAGGTTATTATTATTATTATAAAGGCTTCAATGTGTGCCATACTACCCGGTCCTCCATAATACAGGACTTACCCAATGGTAATTCAACGGACTATATACATATTAACAACCTTGACAGACCAAGGTAACCTTGACAGTTCAACCGCAACAGATGGACTAGATTTGTTAATATAAAAAAAAAACTAGTTCACATGTTCCGGTTGTGCATCAGTATTGGATTTGTTTTTTTTTTCTTATAAAAAGACAACTCCCGTATTAGGGAATACGAGTATATATCCTTTGTAACGGGCGACTTTACAAACATACATGAAACAGACACAAAGAACACCCAGACTCAGACCAACAATTTGTGGATCACACAAATCAGTGTAGTAGGAAGCGGCGTGGTGATCGCTTAAACCACTACGCCATCCGTGCAGTCAATATGGATTTTAATTTTTATTATAATAAGAAAATTTCAGTACCCATTTTATTAATAGAGACGGTATTCATGAAATCATCCCAATGGTAGACCTTGGGCAAAGATACCGACAATACACCCCTTTGGATGAGACGTGACGTAGGAAAGAATGGCCCAAGTTTTGGACTCACTAGATGCTTTCTTCCTCCGAGCCTTTTCGCAAACTAGGTTGGGGTCGACTTTTAAGCCTACTACGATACGGCTAAATTTAAATGTTTTACTCGGAGCGACTACTATCAGACCTCCACAACCCAAGTACTAGGCGATTTTGAAGTTCTGTGGAACGACTGTTAACGGACACCACAGATGATCGTATGGCAACCGGGACCAACGGATTAACGTGCTCTTCGAGGCACGTGCACTCAGTGTGTTAAGAATGGTCACCCATCCATAGAAACCTGGCAACCCTGGTGAGGAGATGGATATTTTTGACGTCTCTGAATTCATTGGTTATGACCATTAGCATTGGCCGTTGGAAGAGTAATCGAGAAGAAGACATGTTTATTGAATTCTTTCCAAGGCAGCAAATATTATGTGGAACAGACCTTCGCACGATCAAGGTGAAATCCTAACCAGCAACAGACAAAAGTGATGACCTTATTATAACTAACACCCCGATGGCTAGATGATAACGGTGGAGACAATCTGCCTCTCCAGATCAATGAAGATAGATCAGCGCACCACGTTAAGGCAGCCCACTCTAGTCCTAGCACTCACTACTCACATTTAGTACAATCATACCCAACTTCGTATGTAAGGAATAATTTTTCCCAGTTTTTGCAACATCTTTCATTGATGCTCGGATCCTATTGGTGGTTACGTGATGTAAATACAGAATTCCTCAATATATCTAACACAAATATAATTTTTCAATTCAAACCAGTGGTGTTTGA